CGCCGCATTTCCCCTCCTACCCCTCCCTCCCAGGCAAGTCTGGGAGGGAGGGGGGAGAAGCGGAGTGGCGGCGCGCTCTGGGGAGCAGACGGCAGTGGAGCGGAGGTGAGCTGGGGGGGGGCGGTTCCTCTGCCGCCCTCCCCTCCGGGTTACTTCCTGTGGCCCTTCCCACACCACCCACCGCTGCAGCTCACCTCCACTCAGGGCCAGCTCCTGGCTTTTTGAGCCCCAGGCAAAAAATAAAAATAAAAAAAAATAAAAAAGGAGCCGGAGTGCCGCCCCTTGGAAAGTGCCGCCCCAAGCACATGCTTGGAGCGCTGGTGCCTAGAGCCGGCCCTGCCTGACTCTGTTGGCCCTTCGGCGTGGCCCCAGCCACTTCCCCAGCGAAAAATTCCCTGGTCCCCAAAAAACCAAAATTTGGATGAAAATCAGTAGAACCCGAATTGTGGCTTTTTCAAAACCATGGGAGTTTTAGTGGGGAAATCAGCAAATGCTAATAACAAAGGGCTCTGAGTGTAACCAAACCCATCTTTGGTTGGCACAACTCCTCTTCCCCATCCCTGGTAGGACCCCGATTCAGCAAGGCGTTTAAGCACATGCCTGACATTAAGCACCCAAGTACCCTCTGTGCGATCGTGTAATTAAAGACCGGCTCTTCCTTAAGTGCCTTGCTGAACTCTCGGGAGGTGGGTAGCTATTGCAATGCACTCTAGTCTGGAAAGGTTCCCTGACTCCTAGCCCCTCCGGCTGGGTTTGGGGAGGGAAATGTCCGATGCTGATCGTTGTTTTACAGGAGCCGGGGGTACATCTGGATGGACGGTCCCTGATTTTGGCAACGTCTACCACGTCTCAGGTGAGCGGGCCAGGTACTCTGTGGTCGGGGTCTGGGGATCGCAGCCTGCTCTCCCTCCGGCAGATGGCTGTGGTGTGTGCATCTCATGGTGATGCCTCGACCACGGAAACAGCGCTGCCCTGCCCTCTGGTAGGAACCACTCAGGGTAATCCTGACCCCTGATCTGGCACCTCTGAGCCGATCCCTGGACTTGCTGAATTAAACTGCTCAGCTGCTCTGGTAAGTAGGGAGCCAGGCTTGTCCCCATTTAGCAGATGGGCAAATTGAGCCCCAGAGGTGATGGTTTGTGCAGTGCCACAAATGTGCCGGCCCCACGGCTTGGAGCCTTCTTGGGGCCCAACAGGCCTTAATGTTACCCAGAGAGATTGAAAACACCCCTTATAAACACAGCTAGTGTCCTCCAGCAATCTCCCCTCCCCCCAGATCCGGCAGCACTGCTCTGGCCCAAGGGACTGTTTTGGACCATCACGGTTGTACTTAACAGAGACCAGCCGGTCACCTCTTAGCACTGAAACTCTTCTTCGGCCATAGTGGGAGGACGGGTCTTGTGCTTAATGCCCTGGGCCGGGACTCAGGAGTCATGGGTTCAATTGTGGCTCTCCCCGTGTGATCTTGGCCAAGTCGCTGCATCGCTCTGTGCCTCGGTTTCCCCATCTGTGAAACGGGGATGATGGTACTTTCCAGGGGGGTTGTGAGGCTGAATCCATTGCTGTTTTTAGTTGAGATTCTATGGGGCAGGGGCCATGTCAATATCTAGATAGGATCAGATCCTTTCCCACCATTCTCAGACAAAGCCAGCCAGCCAGCCAGCCAGCGTATGGGAAGGGAAAGGACACAGGAAAGTCTCATCCCCTAGTAAGCAAGTTAACAAACCAACCCTCTGCCTGCTGTCTCCCAGTGCCTGTCACGCCTGAGTCCCCCATGGGCACTGCTCGCTGTGTTTGCAACACTGAGCTCTGGGGCTTCAGGCCTACAGCTGGATCTGTGCCGCCGGACCCGTGTGTCCACACAGAGCCCCTCGGACGCAAGGGTCTGGCCCCCGACTGAGTCCCCAACTCCCCCACCGCAGGGCAGGGACTGTCTTAATGAGTCTGTCTGTCAAGCTGTCACCCCCATGCCACCATCAGCCTAAGCGATAGCAGGACTGGCCTGTCTAGCTAGCTCCTCAGACCCACTGGTGTCCATTCTGCAGCAGTGCCAGGCAGTTAATAGTTAATTAATACCTAGCTCTCATCATCCGATCTCAAAGTGTTTTACAAAGGAGAATCAGGATCATTGTCCCCATCTGACAGGAAACTGAGGCACAGAGGGGGCATGATTTGCCCAAAGTCACCCATCAGTGGCACAGCCAGGAATAGAAGCCAGGTTTCCTGAGTCCTACGCCTGTGCTTTAGCCATTAGGCAACGCTGCCTCCCCGTTAGAGAGAGGCAATGACTGTATATTACAATTACTGGGAAGTCCTTTTGTTCATTTAAAACACTTCCCAGGAACGGGCACATACCCGGCGCTGTTCAGTATGCCCGGTCTAGGCTCCTGGGTGAGACTGGAGCTCCAGGGGGTATTGCCCAGGCGCTAGGCCACGCGCCCGGTGTCTTTTGTTAAGAGGAAAAATACAATCAGTGCAGAGAATGGGAAGGAACAGGGGGGAGAGATTCAGAAAAGCAGCCCCGTACGCCACTGGAGCGGTCTAGGTCAGGAGACCAGAGGCTGGTTCTGTTGCTTACACGATCCGAGGGACAGCTGGGACCTGTTTGCTGGCTCCTTGTTCCAAAACAGCCCCGGTCACGGCCAGCCAGAAAAGGGGCTTTATCTCGACCTTAGCAAACCGGCTAGACTAATATGGCCACGGCAACGGCCTTTCCCAGAAGCCTCCCCTCCTGCCTTCATTCCCCTTTCACTGTCCCAGCCTCTCCCCTGGGACGGAGCGCAGCTCCCGCTAAGCACGGCTGAGGGGCCGGGGGAGCTGGCCAGGGCGTCTCTAGGAACAGCCCGCTAGCTGTGGTCGAGGTAGCACCCGAAAAAAGCCGGGTAGCCATAGCGACGTGGACGGTGGCTTGGGCGAGCTGTCTCACGTACCTAGGATCCTGGCCAGGATGGCACATGGGCAGCTAGCCCGTGCTGCCGCGGCGACCCTGCTGTTTTCAGTACACGAGCCTGATCGAAGCCGGCGTGTGTACACGTCCTCTAAGCCAGCTGGGGGATGAATTGGCCCCCAGTGCAAGTTAGAGCAGCCCTGTGGCTGCTGCGACTTTCATCCGCTAGAACTGTCTCCCATCAACCAGAAATCAGCGAGGGTGTCATGCTCTACCCCCATTCTCTCCCTGCTCCCAACCAGCCCTGTGCCCAAATGAGGGGTGGCGGAGCCAGAAGGGGCTGCCAGTCCAGGGTTCCCCCTCTCCCAGGGAATCCTCAGCTGCTCTTGGGGGGGGCAGCTTTCGGGTCACTGTGCACCACTCTGGCTCTGGCTCGCTGGCATGAGTAAAACTTCCCCCTTGTCCATTCTCTCTGATGCGGGCACCAATTGGCCAGAGTCCGAACAGGGTCACGGACACAACCCGGCCTCTGGAGAGCACAAGGAGGAAATCTCCACCGAGCAGCTTCCTGGCCAGGGGCTCTGGGATGGGAGGGAGCGGCAGTGCCGCGGAGAGTGAAGTGGCTTGGCCTGATTTTCTCGCCGTTAAGCCAGGCTGCTTGGTGACTGCTTTCGCTGCGGTGTTACAATGCAGCATTTTCTGAGGGGGACGCATGGAGCTGTCTGGGTCTCGCGCCGTAGCTCAGGACACAGGGAGCAGCTGGGCGCACAAATCTGCGTCTCGGGGAGCTCTCGCTGACGGCGGCCGGACTCCTCTGGGTGTGAAATGGGGCAGAATGGGAATTCTGACCTGGGTTAACTTCCATTACGGGCAGCTGGCCCCAGTACCCTGGTGTGCCCAGCGCCCGGCACCGCATGTGGCTTGAATCGGGCGCGTCTGTACGATGACTCTGGGCCTCGTCCCTCTGTCTCTGTGGCACGGACTCGGGCTAACCTGGCTCCTGTTCTGGTGGCCTGCAGGGGTTATCGACTTGCCGTTCGCGGAAATCCGGGAGCCCTTTGAAGCCTGGTACAACCAGACGGGAGGAAAGAGCCGGATCCAGTACTACCACGGTAGGTGTGCTGGGCACCTGGCCTCTCTCTGCTCCTCACCGGGCGGCAGGCCAGGGCCCACCGTTGGGGCCACACTCAGAGGTGACGTATGGAATGCTGCAAATGAGCCCCAGGAAAACCCCGCCCCCCAGCCTGACGTGCCCCCGCCTCCCAAGCCACGCACGAGGGGAGCCTGATTCGACTTGGGGCTTGATCCGGAGCCCAGCAGGAGCCCGTCCATTTACTTCACTGCGCTTGGTGTTCCCTTGGTTCCCCTTTCTCCTGGCCCCCTCGGGGTGTGAGCAGGAGTCCCCCCCCAGGCAGAGGGCCAAGTGCAAGGGGGGGGGCGCATGTTCCACCTCTGCAAATGGGCGTGAGCTGTGGGGGTGCAAGGCACCCTAGGTGGTACAGGGCTGTAAGTTGCTCCAGGTGGGTCAGTCGCAGGGGCGCCAGACCCGGGGGAGGGGGAGCACAGGGCCATGCCCCTCCCCCTTTTTACTGGCCATAAGGGGGAGGGGCAAAAAAGGACAAGCGGGGGGGGGGGGAGGAGATGGCGCAGGAACGGGGCCTTGGAAGGGGAATGGGTGGTGTGGGGGTGGGGCCTTGGGGGGGGGCAAGGGCAGGGCCATGGTTCAGGTGCCTATGCCCCCCCCCACACACTTTTAGAGCACTTCTGCTGCTCCCGGTCAGTCGTCTCCCCTCCTAACTCTCCCCTCTTGCTGCACAGCTGGGATAGCCGGGGGGAGGTGCTAGGTGCCGCTCCCGGGCAGGGGAACACCCAGCTCTCCATGGCCTGGTGCTCGCTTTCCCTCGGCTCTTTAGCCAGGCATGGCTGGGTGCCGGTGGGCAGCCAAGCCAGCCGTGGCTATGGCCTGGCTGCAGGGAGCTCAGCGTCACACCAGCTCCGAGGGCTGCTCTCCCACCTCCCCGGGATCTGCCCCAGGTGGGTCTGAAAAGCTACGGACAGTGACACTCCTCAGCTTGAGAGTTAGAGCCTCGGTACCGTTCCCCCTTCTCAGCCTGCCCAGGGAGAGGTGGAGACCCTGGCGGTTTCTCGCCTTCCCTCGCCTGAGGCTGGGCCCATGAAATGTCTTGACCTTCCCGCGTCTCTTCCCTGCCTCCCAGGGCAAGTGGTCACCTTCCAATACGGGGCAGAGAAGCTGTTTGGTGCCCTGTACAAGATCACCCCAGAGACCACGGAGCTGGAGCTCAACGTCCGGAAGTGCTTCCGGATCAGCGGCA